ATTCCTCTTGATATAATCCCACATAATTCTTAGGATTCCTTCATTTTTTTAAATCCTTTTATCTGATTTTTCCTCAAATAAGTTGGTGTCAAGCGCTTTATCTTCAATCTTGCTAATTCTGACTTCCGTTGCCTCAATTCTGCTCCTATGACTTTCTATGGAGTTGTCTAATTCTGAAATTCGATTGTTAATCTTCTGGGTTTCTGACTGCTGTCTCTCTATGGATTCTTGCAGTCTGTTAAATTTGTCAATATGCTCTTCTCTAATCTTTTTCATTTCCTCTATCGCATGTTCTGTGTTTTGCTTAATTTCCATCCTAATCTCCTGAAGAGTTCCGTATATTAATCTTTTATACTCCACCTCTGGTAATTCCAAGAAATTTTCCTCCTCTGGAAGATTTCTAGATTCTTTATTTTGGGAGCTTGCTGAAGCCATCATAGTCTGCCTCTTTATGTGACTTGATATTGACTATTGTCTCTGAGCCATCAATAAATTATTATATTCATTTATTTTATGTTTGCTTACTCTGTCCGAGCTTCGTTTTGTTTTGATATGCCCAAATAGGCTGCTCATGTGAGCCAGCTGATTATTGCCACCTTTGAAGCTCTAATGTCCTGTCACCAGGTGGTTAGAGCTATTACTAGATATGTGAGCTCAGTAGTCTGCCCACTTCTCCTGTATGGATTCAGCTCAGGTGCCCAGGTGATAGCCACCAAGTGTGTGGTCCAGGCTCTTATACTACAGTCCTAGACAGGAATGGTTGACTGGTGTAGGCACAGGCATCTGGCTGCAGCAGGGGAACACATTCTGAGCAGGGCAGGGGGCTGACATCCTCCCTGAGTGTCCAGGAGTAAGGTGTGTCCCTGTTCCCTAGAGCACACAGGTGGCTGGGTTTTGCAGCCGGACTATGAACACCCAATGCTGTTTGCTGTAAGGACTAGAGGGGCACCTCTTATTCTTGGGCTCCTATCGCAGGTGGCTAGGTGGTGTGGGTGGAGCCACCAGTCCTCAGGCCCCTGATGTGGGTAAGTGAAGACCCTGCTTAATGGGCAGAGCAGTGTCAAATGTCATGGACCTGCTGCTTCATAGCTGAAACAGTTGAAGTTAGACTTCAGGTATACACCGTGTTGTACTGTGGTAATGAGGGCCTACGCTGTTGAATGGGCCCACACAACTCTATGCAGGCAGAAAGATACTCAAAGTCTGTGGATCCGTTATGTCTGTGCCTAGGCAAAGGAGCTGTGTCTATGCTGGGTTCCTGGCTTAGGGGAGCCGGCAGTTTATTTTTTCCCGTTTGTCAATTTGTTCACTCTCCAAGTCCGGGAGAATGGCTCAGGGCGTGACGGATCCTACTTCTGGCCCAGTGGACTCTGCAATTGCTGAAGCTGGTCCAGGACCCACTGCAGAGCAGGGAGCAGGGAGGTAAATGGGAGAGAGGTTTTTCCCTAATGGGGTGTTTTTGATTCATGCAATAGGCCGGATCCAAGTACTTATCTTTCACCAGTTGAGGGCTGCTTCTTACTGGTTCTGGGCAGCCGAGTAGATTCTCTGCTGCTGGGTCTCTCCTGGTGCGGAATATGCCTCCTGAGCACCACTGCTTGCCTGCCTCACCACTCACCCATGGGAAGATGAGGCCTGAAGGGCTCAGGCTCTTGCTGGGTCAGGTCTGGCAACTCCTCACTGCTTCCGAACCATCTCTCCCTCCCCGTTACTCAGTCTGTTTCCTCAACTTTGCCTTTGATGCTCAGGGCTCCTATACTGTCATATATAATCGATTCACATGTTTTTTTGGGTCTTTGTTGTAAGAGGGTTCACTGGAAGCATCTGACTACTGTGTCATCTTGGCCCTACCCCCTCTCAGTTCTTTTACGATCTTAATTCTGAAATGTCCTTACCTTCATCCAGTGTTGCACACTGTCAGGGTCAAAGGCAGGCTGCAGATAAGAAGACAGAATATTACAATATTAATAGACAGCTGTATCTTTATCAACCTTGCCATTTTATTCTATCCTTCTGACTAAAGCATATAAAAAAGTGCCCCTTATTCTTTTCCCCCAGCATTTCATTAGGAAGCTCAGGCACAGATTAGCAACAGAAGAACAAACGGTAACATTATGAGGAAGAATCATTAAGCATTTTCTGGGATATTATCTGTTTTTATCCCTTGCTTGGGTCACACCTCCAGAGATTCTGATTAAACTGGTCTGGCATAGGGCTGAGGTATCAGTATTTTTTAATAGTTCCCCAAGATTGGAACTAAGAGAAATACTAGGTATGACACTTCTCATGAAAACCCAATCAAACACCTAATTAGTCAAATCATCCAAACGATCAGCTGTTTGAACCCACCAGCAGCTCCACAGGGGAAAGATGTCACAGTCTACTTCTGTAAGGATTTACAACCTTGGAAACCCTATGGGGCAATTCTACTCTGTCCTAGAGAGTTGCTATGAGTTGGAATTGACTTGATGGCAATGGGTTTGGTTTTTGGCTGTGGTACAAGGAAGCGAATCTTCTTAGAGAAAGGTGTGTCCTTCTCCTTGTTGTTGTTAGGTGCTGTTGAGTTGATCTGGACTCACACAGACCTCCGGTGACAGATTGGAAGTGCCCCATCGTGTTTTCTTGGGTATAATCTTTACTGAAGCAGATTGCCAGGTACTTCTCCCACGTGGCCGCTGAGTGGGTTCGAACCACCAACCTTTTGGTTGGCAGCCGAGCACTAAACTGTTGTGCCACTTTGTGCTCCTTGTCTTTCTCCTTAGGCTCCTCTTTTCAGGAACAGCCTGTAGCAAAGTTTTCTTGTCTTACCTTGATCAGGGATATTGTTTGGTCCAATAAGAACTAGGAGAGAGGAGGTGAGGGGTAAACAGTTCTATTTTACAAAACAGACTATGAGATAGAAATCAAGTAAATTTCCACCCAGGTCAGGCAGATATTAATCTGAAATTGGAAATCAGACTATTAGAACATCTCTTTTCTTCACTATGTAATGCCCAGAAGCGCACAGAACTCCAATAGTCACTTAACAAATAGAGGTATTTGCTTTGCTAATAATTCAGGAGGGCTTTTAAATAAATAAATATCTAAATTAGCATGCTGACACATGAAGATGGGAAAGGTATAACACCCTCTTTCACTTACATAACACTTCACCTTCAAAGCACCTTACAGATACTGATTAATGCAGCTGTACTGCTGAATAATTTTGTCACCAGAACAAAAGAGCTGATCCCGTTAAAATACAACTGAACTTCAAGAAGCCTTTTTCTTTTTTAGCCTCTTTATCCTCTAGGTAGCAACAATGGGCACTAGCAGCAAAAAGCCTTCATTTTACAGTCCTAAGAAATTGCCCCAAATTTTTACCTTTCATCATCAAGTCTGTACTGATGACCTATTTTTCAGGTCCAATCTATTATGTAACTTATACAACAGGAGTAGACTCAGTTTCCAAGTCTCTCTAAGGCTCCAGTCTTCACCCCTCAGTATCTGGGACAAGATATTCAACCAGTGGAGTATGCCCAGTGCATTATTTAGTTGGTATACTTAGAATAAACTGCAAAACCAATTGCATAGGGCCCTCAGAAAGGCCGCATGTCTACAGAATGTTTTTTAGGAAACTGTAACTTAAAGGTGAAAACAGCTGGTCACATTGTTCTTGAGCTGAAAGCTGATCAGCCTCTCCATTCTGGTACTCTCATTGGCATTTAAAGCATTTTTTTGTGGCTGTTAAAAAGGTAGTTTGTGGAAAGCACACACCACGGGACTGTGACTTTACACATCACCTACATATGCTTCAAGTTTTAAATGGGGTTACCAGTTTTTCTTGTCATCAGACGGTAATGTGTCAAAAGAGGTAAGAAATATGAAGAGAATCTCTGTTTTTGAGTGTTGGCTGAATTTATAAATTCCCAATGTGAATCAAATGTTGATTAATGCAGTATCCACTTGCATTCCAGAGTTCATTTTAGAGACTTCATGCAAAACTGTAAGAGCAGGAGCATGAGGCAGAAGGTTTAATATGAACACTACCCGCCTCCCCACCTCAAGTCAAGATCAGTTCCCCCTGATTTGCAAAACTTCAGAAAAGGAAATGCACGTAAACTTTTCTGAAGTTGTGTGTCGGGGTGGGGGCGGGGAGCTTTAATGCCCTTCACAGACAAAAGCGTTTGATGGAACCACTTCTTCCACGGTGCTGCCCACCAATGCTGTAAGGTACCCATATCCCGAGGCTCCTAAGACCCCTTCACTCAGGCAATGCTGGCTAGCGGGGCGGGGAGTCAAGGCAGGGGCGGCCGAGGTAAGGACGCCCCTGGGGGAAGAAAGAGGAAGCGTAGGAGGGGCCACGGCTGGTCCAGGGGCCCGGAGGCGCCTCGAAGCCGGTCCTTGCCCCCGCCTCCTGCCGCCCCCGGAGCTCCCGATAGGGATCACCTTGGGACTCGGCTTTCTGGCGAACCGTTCCCAGCCAGTCAGCCCCGTCCTCTTCTTTGAGGCGGACCTTTCCTGGGGCGCCAGCAGCATTTTCGAAATTCAGGCCCGGACCTCGGTGAAAGGGCAACAACCGCTCCTTTGCACAGGCTCCTTCCGGGTCACACTGGGAGTTGTAGTTCCTCCTCCCACAAGGAAGGCACGTCGTCTGGCACGGTCGAACCACCACTCCCAGGAGGGTTTGCGCAGGCGGAACGCGTTAGCTCGGTTACCCATGGCAACGGCAGCAGTCACTTCGACTCCTGGCCGTTAGCATTCTGATATTACGTTAGCCTTCTACTGGCGCCCAGTGATTACGCACTGCACCCTGATTGGCTGTGCGCCGAGGCCGTGGGTTAGGGGGCCGAGAATTCAATACGCCGGACACGTGGTAGCGAACTGCAAGGAATTTGAGGTGTCCGAAGAAACGTCAGAAAAATTGAGAAGTTTGCAGGTAAGTGCCCCTTTCCCCGCTGTTCTGGAGGCTGCTAGGGATGGAGGGGTCGTTTCGCCCCCAGACGCTTTCTGGTTGGGTTGTAGTATATGTAACTGTACCTCTGCTATGTCTGTCCTTACCTTTTCTGGTTCACCTGGTGGATCTTGGCTTCTGTAAGCCCAGATTCTCCCAAATCGTGTGAGCTCCGCCGCATCTCAGAGAAAATGACTCCTTTCGCCCCGCATCTGCTCAGGCGGGAAGTTTTCAGCCGGAAGTTGTTTTCGGACTGCCGAGGAGACTTGGTAGAGTGGGACGCTCTCAAATCCCTGAGCTGGGCACCTCTCGAGGTCTTGAGCCCTGGTGATGGCTCCTGGAGCGAAGATAAATTCATCCTTATTGGCTGAGACTAGCCTTTTTTGGGATACAGGGGCTTGTAAAGCAGGTTAGAGCGGAAGTTTTGTAGCTACTTTGTGGCTGTGTGACCTTAGACAATTTCTTTAATAATTCTTGGATCCTCAGTTTACTCGCTGGCAAAATGGGGACTATAATGCCTAAATCGTTGGGCTGTTGTAGCATTAAAAGTTAATGTATGTAAAGCTCTCTGCCCAGGGAATGTACACTAATCTTGAGACTGAAAATAAGGTCAGGGTAGCGTTGCTCTTAGGCTGCTGCAGTGATCCTAGGATTTCATCTGCAACTTGATCGTCCATCAGAAGAGCGATGGTTGGATAAATTGTGTTATATTGAAACTATACGATATCATCAAGCAATTATTTTAAAAGGATAAGTTCTATGTCTCTTCGGAAAAGACATCCATTGTGTATACCTGGGAGAAAAACAACTTGCAGAGACGTGATTATAGTATAGTTTGCTCCCATTTTTGTAAAAGCAAACCATGACCAAAAACACCTCCTCTCATGCAAGTATGTTTAAATGTTTGTGTGAATATGGAGAAGTGTTATGGAGTCTGGAAGAATGGATAGAGACAGAGGAGTGAGTTAAGGGAAAACAACAATAGTAACACTATAGCAAAATGGAAAATATGACTATAAAATTGTATCTTAGCATTACAGTTAATATCCTTATGGACAAGATGGAACTTCTAATTGGCCACGAGCCAATTAGGGTACAGCCTTTAAAGCCAGATTTCCATGGTATAAGGCCTGGCTCTGCCATTTACCAGCTGATGACTTTATCAGCCTCTGTTTCCTTATATGTAAAATGCAGATAATAATAACATCTATCTCATGAGGTTGATGTGAAGATTAACAGAGCTAATATGTAATAACAGTACTTGACCCATAGTGAATCGTAATCAATGTTTGTTGCTACTGTTATCTTTATTATATCTTTCAATAGGTAAATTTAATTTGTTAACTTTTATTGTGTTTACGAACATATTTGGGCTTATTTCTACTATCTTATTTTATATTTTCTATTTTTGATGGGCTTTTTGGTCTCTTTTCCTCTTTCTTGCCTTTTATTGGATTAATCAATTTTATTTTAGCCCCTCCCCTGAATGAATTTGGAAATTATGTATTCTGTCACTAGTCTTTTAATGGTTACTTTTACATTTTTAACACATACACTTAAAGTTTACAATTATTCCTTATCTCTCTCTTCCTCCAAAATAGTGTAAGGATTTTTGAATGCTCTACCTCTGAATAGTCTTCTCATCTTTTATTTTGTTGTTTTCTAGAATTTGCAGTTCATCATTTCTGTGTCTTTCTGAGTCAGCTCAGTGTACCATGTTGTTTGTTGTTGTCGCTGCTGCCCTTTAGTCAGCCTCTGACTCGTAGTGACCCCATGCACAATGGAATTGGACCATTTTGATCCACAAGGTTTTCATTAGCTGGTGATATACTTTTTTGAAGTATATCACCAGGCCTTTCTGCCTAGTCCGTCTTAGTCTGAAAGCTGCACTGAAACCTGTTCAGCATCGTGCAACACACAGGTCTCACTAACAGATAGGTGGTTGCTGCACTCGAGGTGAATTGGCTGGGAATTGAACCCGGATTTCCTGCATGGATGGTGAAAATTTACCACGAAACCACCACTGCTCCCTTACCATATTGTTTAGAAGTCCTTTATGTCGATGTTTGCTGTACATTTACAAACATTGTACAGTATGTTGTAGGGATGGGGATCTGGTTGTGTATTTATGATACGTACACAGTTTGTCGTCACTGAAGCTTGCTGTTTTCACCTAACATATTGTGGACATCTTCCCATGACAGTATGTAGAGAATCCATGTAAGAATCATTTTAAAATCTCGTCTTCTCTGAGGAAATGGGGGTGGGGCACTCTAGGTATTGGGAGGTTCAGTCCTGTCAGAGGTGCAGGAGATATTTGTTAGCCCTTGCAAAGATACAAAGCCACTAACAGTCTATCACTTGTCTCTTAATTCTAATGATTTTTTTCCTTAAGACTCTCCCAAGCACTCCATCTATAGAAGTAAAGTGAATTTTTGTATGTTTAGAAAACCACCAACACCGAAAGTATTGGGAAGAGACCCACAGCAGTGAAAAGGTAAGAGGTGGTGAATGAAGGCAAATAAAAACGAGGTGATATTTTGGAAGCTATTAGTTTTGTTTCTTGAGAACTTTGCTTGGGTTAGTAGATTACATCATTCCCAATGCAAGTTTTAGAAAAAATATATATATGTATGAATGTATAGATATTTTTGTATTACTCCATAATAAAAACTTATTCAACGTTCCTAGAAAAGAAGTGCAATCATGGAAACAATGACCACTTATATTGCTCCTAATAAAAGCTTACTAACATGCCTAGAAAAGAGGTAGAATGGTACAAACAATTACCATAAACTGAACTGTGAGTGGGGAAAGGAAGGCTTGGTTCTTCTGACTCTGGACAGAATTGTGTTTTTTGTTTTAATGCTGATTTCCAGTTGAAGTTCATTCTCTTGTGCTTTCCTCAGATTTCTTGATATTTGCATTAATTCTCACGATACAGAGAATTGCTGACTATAGCAATTTGTCTATTACACTACTTCCCATTTTTTAAAAAACACGTTGTAGTTGTTAGTTGCTGTCGAGTAGGCTCTGACTCGTGGTGATGTTTATATATGTATAACAGAATAAAACATTGCCCCGTTCTGTGCCATCTTCATGGTTATTGGTATGGTTGAGTCCATTGTTGTGGCTGTCATGTCAGTCCATCTCATTGAGGGTCTCCCTTGTCTTCATTGGCCCTCTGCTTTACTCAATGTGTCTTTTTCTAGCTATTGGTCTTTCCTGATGATGTATCCAAAGAAGCAAGTCAAAGTCTCACCATCCTTACTTCTAAGGAGCATTCTAGATGTATTTCTTCTAACACTGTTCATTCTTTTGGTATTCCATGGTATAGTCAATATTCTTTCCAACATTACAGTCAAGAAATCAAATGATGTATTGCTGTAAAAATGGTGGAGTGGCATCAGACCTCGTCTAACTTCACAAGTGTGAGGAGAGAGAATCAAAATCAACAGTCCAAGGCTGATTCTGGTGAGGTGGAGGTCAGACATACCTCCTCTCTTCAACCTTTTTACCAATTCTGACATCAGCTGTCCCTCCCACAGCACTCTATTTCTCTGCTAGGTTTGATAACTTGTTGCAGTGGCCACACAAAACTCACAGACCATGCTCACAGTTATAGGGTTTATTAGGGGAGTAACAGGTTACAATTCAGGGTTAGGAATGACTCAGGATGCAGTTCTTTGGCAGGACAGCTTCTTGGCCATGCCTGCATGCAGGCCTCTCTCTCAGCTCTCGGCCCCTTGGCCCCTGGGCCCCTCGGCCTGGCCTCCAACCTGCTTGAGCAAGTGTTACAAAGCTCTTTAGTTCTATCAGTAAGTGTCCAGAGGCACCCCACTCCACTAGCAAGCCTCCTGCCCAGAAGTGCTCAGCTCTCTCGTTCGTGGGTCAGCACACCCACTGTAGCTGCCTTGCTCCGTGGGCTGGGAGGCCCACTGCACTGTCTTACACTAGCCTCCTGGTTCTGCTGCTGCTGCTGTTTTTCTACTGCCACTTCTTACCATCTCCAGTGTTACAGCTGTCTGTCTGTCTTCTGGTTCTAGGAGGTTCTCAGTGCAGGGGCTTCTGGGTCCAAAGGATGTGCTCTGCTCCTGGCTCTCCTTGATGGTAGTGAGGTCCCCTCTCTGCTTCTGGGATTGGGTCCTTTTAAGCCTAGCAGGGATGACAAAACTGACCGATCCCCTCATTAGGGTTCCGTATGCTTATTTGCATGGTCCCACCCCACAAGGGTTCCATACACCTTATTTGCATTATTAGCAGGCTGTCCAATCTCCTTGGTGAGCCACAAGCACCATATTTGCATAGTCCCACCCAGTCATTTTTGTGGGAGTCACAAAGACCATGGCTAGAAGGGCCGTGTTACGTAATTCACTGCACCATAATTGCATTGGGCAAATCTGCTGCAAAAGGCCTCTTCTAAGTTTTAAAAAGCAGTGATGTCACTTTCACAACTAAGATGTGTCTGACACAAGCTGTGGTCTTTTCAGTTGCCTCATATGCATGCAAAAGTTGGATAATGAAAAAGGAAGACAGAAGAATTGATGGTGTTGGCAAATGTTTAAACACACAGTCTTCTGCTTTTCCTCACTTCAGTTTTCCTTTGGTAACATGTTGAATTATGGTGATGATTAGGATGGGAGCCTTAAGAAGCTGCAAACAGTAGGATGTGCGTTCATAGCCTCAAAGTCCTGCCCTATGGATTGAGTATGCTAAGCTGAGGGTTTTGAATTTCATCTTTAAAGTTATGGGGAATGTTTAAAGTATTGTCTTACAGCAGAACCCATCTCTGCATCTAAGAATATGGTGGCCAGTGTCCTCTAGAGCTACCAAGAACCAAAGATGACAGACTTTGAGTTAAAAATGAAGAAAGCTGTTTTTTCAGTTGAGGAAAGAGTAGGAAAGGGAGATATAAGAAAATGCGTTCCAGATTGAGTGGATGATTAATCACAGTTGGGATTCTTTTGTTAAAATATGGAGAGTCCTAGAACATATTCATTATTTTTCCCCCCAAAGATGGGACTGGAAAGCCCCCAAAAGGAAGGCGAGTGTTGGAAGCCGAAAGTCTGGACTTCTGGTGTAGCTGCCTGTTCTCTTGGAGAGTCCCTGTGTCCAGCCTTGGATAATCTGAGTTTATAACCAGAGAACAGTTGGGTTTCCTTTCATTCATCTTTTCTTACACTAATCGTTGCTTACTCTTCCTATTCTGATTCTATATTCATGGGGCATTATAGCTGACTTCCTATGTGACGTCATATAGGGCAAGAACACACTGACTGGTCCATTCTCCTTTTTGGTTCTCAGAGTAAATAATTGTGCATATTGATTTTGTTGCTCAGTCTCGAGATTGGTTTGTCTGAGCCTGACCCCGAGTGATGGGTGGATGTGTGTTGGGTGTGTTGACAGGAGCAGGCTCCAGGACTTGCCAGCTCCCCGACCAGTGGCCAGTCAGCCATTCTTTGAGCATGTGTCCTGTTCTGTTAGTATGGATTGAAGGGCTCGAGAACTATTTCCTTTGTTCTGACTTCCCACAGTGTGCTCTAGGGGAGAAAAGATGCTTCACAGAATTCATACACAATTTTAAAAAATCATCTTTTTCTTTAACTGAGTGGCCATGGTATGCTAGAGGATGTTCTAAAGGATGTTAGACTGCATCTTAACATGCTAGATTTACTCTCACTTATAAAGTATAATTAAAAGAGCACCGGCTTCAGGGCAAATCTTGGGACTAATCTTGCTGAACCTCGTATTTTTTATTTTTAAATGGCAGAGATGGTGGTGGTGGTGGTGAGTGTGGTGAGGGTTTTCCAGACTGGAGTCTCTGGTAGTAATGGTGGGACTCTACAAACTATATTTCAGTTTTTCAGAAAGTCTAGTGGAAATCATATATTATCTGAGATATTATGCACAGGTTTACTAAAGCATTGGAGTTTGTTGTTTTTACCTGGAGTTGAGTAACTCAGCTTGGAAAAGCAGATTATTTAACACTAACCAGAAACTTTGATTGCACTGGAAAAAACGAAAGCATGGGTTTGATGGGAGAAATAATAAAAATTGGTAACATTCTAAAATCCTAAACCTAATTTTTCAAATATACTAGTTTTACCCTATGAAGGCTCTTCTTACATTCACAGGAATTTAGTTAAAAAAATATAACTCATGTAAGTACATTTAAACTACAAACCTTGAACAGACAGAATTTTTGGAGAAGGAGACAAGCAGCAAGTTTTTATGGCTAGTGCTTTTTCAAATGGCTCGCAGACAATTCAGTTTCTTCCATTCTCAGATGTAGATGAAGGTAGAAAGTGCTTAAGTTATTGTAGTATTTCATAATACTGGTCCATTAAATTTTCATTACTTCTTATGTTTCAGAAACCTCGTGTTGCGTGTTTGATTGATTCCAACGTTCAGTCAGAGTAGCAGGCCAAGTTGATTCATTAACTTCAAAGTGCATTTCTCCTCCTTGTGCCCCCCTCCCTTCAGTTCTCTGGCGCTTACTTAGATTGTAAAATGCAGTCTTTCATTTTGCTACAAATGGACTCAGAGTTTGGTAGTTCAAAATATAGTTTTATTACTTGAGATTAGTAAGTTACATGTATTATCTGATAAATAGATAAGGAATATGGTTTGGTAAACTGATTACTCTTGTATTTATATTTTCTAGAGTATATTCTAATTAGCCTGTAATTTGTATAATATTTTTAATTTATATTTCATCGTGGTAAAACATATATAACATAAAAATTGTCATTTTAACCATTTTTAAGTGTACAATTCAGTGGCAGTATTCACATTCCAGTGTTGTGCAACCATCACCTCCGTCTATTCCCAAAACAACTTCATCATCCAGAGAACTCTGTACCCATTAAGCAGTAATTCCCTTTCTTCCCTCCCTCCAGCCCCTAGTAACTCTAATCTGCTTTCGTCTGTGAATTTGCTTAGTCTAGATGTTTCATATAGGTGGAATTTGTCCTTTTGTGACTTACTCATTCCACTTAGCATAATATTTTCAATGTTCATCTATGTTGTAGCGTCATGTGTTAGAACTTCATTCCTATTTATGGCTGAATAATATTTCATTGTATATATGCACCACATTTTGTTTATCCATTCATCTGTTGATGGACACTTGGGTTGTTTCCACTTTGATTATTGTGAATAATGCTGCAGTGAATGTTGAGTCTCTTTGAGTCTCTGCTTTCAGTTCTTTTGGGTATATACTTAGGAGTGGCATTATTGGGTCATATGGTAATTCTGTGTTTAACTTTTTGAGGAACTACCAGTTTTCTAAAGTGGCTGCACCATTTTACATTCTCACCAGAGGTGCAGGAGGGTTCCAATTTCTCCACATCCTCACCAACACTTGTTATTTTTTGATCTTTTGATAGTAGCCATCTTAGCAGGTATGAAGTGGTGTCTCATTGTGGTTTTGATTTGCATTTCCCTAATAACTAATGATGTTGAACATCTTTGCATGTGCATATTAGCCATTTGTCTACCTTCTTTGGAGAAATGTCTATTCAAGTTCTTTTCTCATTTTTTAAATTGGGTTGTTTGTCTTGTTGAGTTGTAGGAGTTCTTTATATATTATAAATATTAAGCCCTTGTTAGATATGCTGTATATAATTTTTTTGGTATAAACTTTGTTGTTCTTTTAACAGCTTTAAATGATAACAGTGTTTTTTGTTTGTTTTGTTTTAATAATGTCTATATTACTCTTTGTTAAAACATAAGTTTTTTTCTCTTAAGAGTCTTCACTTGTATGAGTTACATTGACATTTATTTTTATGTCTCTATCTTTGTGATAACTTGAAGTAGTGAAGTTATAGTCATAGGAAATTGACTAGGCTTTCCTCAAACACTTATACTAGTTCTTACAAGTCGTTTTAAATGTGAAATCTCTTATTGAAACATATAGAAAATTGTTATCTTATTTCTAAAATCCTAAAGACTGTATTGGCTATTTTCCTTAAATGTAAGAATTTATGACTCCAAAGTAATGCTTATTTTCTTCAATGTGTTTAACTAATGATAGAAAATGCTTATTTGTTTGGTAGCATCTTAAACAATGGTTGACCTTCAAAGTATTGTGTGGTATAATGCTTAAGAGGACAAGATCTAAAGTGTGGGCCTCTCAGATAGCTGTAATAGTTTATCTGTTAATAAAACTGGGCCTGGTCAATTGATGAAGATTCTACAGGATCTGGTAGTTGGCTGCAGAGATGCAACAAATTATTGTAAATTATTGGCACAGCCAGTGACATTTTAAAAAGAATCCACTGTGCAAGCTTGTCAGTTTCCGTAGTGCCTGTGAAAAGTGAAGTCCAGGATTTTGCTTCACTCAATAATAACTAAAAGCCACATCCAACAAAGTAATTGATAATGTTTTCTAATTTTTTTTTCCTGTTGTATCTATGGAAGTTAGAAGGTATATATTTTTTTCTTTTTTAAAACAAATATTTTTCTTTTCCAATTACAAAAGTGATGCTGAATTGCTGCATGGAACACATGTAGGCTCCATGTAGTTTCTTACCTTTGCTCAAATACTATGTAAGAACCAATTAGAAAATAAAACTCTCTTAATCCTATCACTTAGAGATAATCTGTGTTTATTTTTTCATGTATGTTCTTCCATATATTTTAATAAACACCAGAATGCTGTTTTGGGGCCCGTTTTCTTTGCTTAACAACATATTCAGAAAAGTTGCTATGTAGTTAAGTATTCTCTTAAATTAGAGACAGAAAAAATGGTACTCATTTTCAGGTGGAGAGTGAGCCTGAGGATCAGTGGCTTCAAGGCTCTTTTTCCATGATTAGTCTTCCTACTTCTTGTTTGGTTTTCATTAGTTCAGACAGAAATTCTGGGACTGAATTTAAATTTGGTTGATGTCATCATCTTGCTCTGTGACTTTGGGGAAGGTGTCTTATTCCCTCTATTCTTGATATCCCCCCAAAAAAATCATAGACTGGAAGTAGTAATAAATATGCTGTCCTTGATTTTATAAGTAGGTTGCTTTCTTTGCAAAATGCTTAACCTTTAGATGTAGTAGAACTCCTATATTTAATGCTCTTTTCTTTTCAGGACCTAGAGCAATCCCTTAGGATGAAGTTGAGTCTTATCAAAGTGGGTAATGGTTGTCGCCTAGGAAAAATAAAAAACCTGGGTAAAACCAGAGACCACACCATGGACATTCCAGGCTGCCTCCTGTACACCAAGACCGGCTCGGCCCCTCACCTGACCCATCACACGCTGCATAATATCCACAGGCTTCCTGCCATGGCTCAGCTTACACTCTCATCACTGTAAGTGTTAGACCCGATCATTCAAGTGGCCACTCTGGCGGCAGCTTCACTGCCTTAATAAGGTGCAGCAAAGAGAAAGACTTCTTTTGCCAGTATGTATAAAATTTGTAGATTTGCAGAATGAAATCAGAAGAGAGGTATCTGATATTATACATCATCTGGAAGCCACAGACCAGACCTATGTTAAAGCTGCTTTAGCTTTCCTCCAAACCAAAGGTCCCATACTGCCTTCATTGCCACTGCTCCCAGGGGTGACAGGGAAGGAAATGCTCCATGAGAGCTAAACTTGGGGCCTAGGGGCTCTCTTTGTACACCAGCCTCAAAGTTTTTCCTGCCTGCTGCACATTTACTCGCTAGCAATACTTTATGGAAACAAAACTAATAGAGCAAGATCATTTTGTGTAACGTATATACTGACATTATACTTAATTGAAGAACCTGCTGTGTTGCTGTTGTTAGGTGCCATTGAGTCGGTTCCGACTCATAGTGACCCTGTGTACAACAGGAGGAAACACTGCCTGGTCCTGCGCCATCCTCACAATCGTTGCTGTGTTTGAGCCCATTGTTGCTGCCACTGTGTCAGTCCATCTCGTTGAGGGTCTTCCTCTTTTTCGCTGACCCTCTACTTTACAAAGCCTGATGTCCTTCAGGGACTGGTCCCTCCTGATAACATGTCCAAAGTACGTGAGGTGAGGTCTTGCCATCCTAGCTTCTAAGGAGCATTCTGGCTATACTTCTTCCAAGATCGATTTGTTCATCCTTCTGACAGTTCATGGCATATTCAATATTCTTTGCCACCACCATAACTGAAACACATCAATTCTTCTTTGGTCTTCTGTATTCATTGTCCAGTTTTTGCATGCATGTGTGGTGGTTGAAAATACCACGGACATATGATCAAATTACAGTGATTTTAAAAGGGCCGGGGAGGAAGAAAATCCAAGTATTGTGAAACAGTTAATATTTGATAGTTTCTCCTCTCACAGAGCCACTGGCAAATTTAAAGCTTTACTCTGTTGGATAAACCCAGTCTAGTTAGTTGGTGTTCTTGAATAATGATGCACGTTCTTGTTCAAGACTACATTTACTGCCATGTGGCTTATTTGGGTGAGGAAATGATGGCTTTGGTTGTTGTATAAACTGTCTGCACAGTGAATCATTGATTTATTTATTTTTCTATTTTGCTTATAGGGCAGAACATCATGAAGTCTTGACAGAATATAAGGAAGGAGTTGGGAAGTTTATAGGTAAAAACTAGTTATGTTTTTGTGCCTTGTGATACATGAATTTACTGAGCATCTGAGAAACAGGCATTGGGGTTTCAAAGGTGAATAGGAAACAGTTGCTGCTCTCCTGGCCTAGGTGGGATAAAGAGAAACACACAGTTGATGCTAGCAGAGTGGGTAACCGCACTTGCTGGATTAGGGGTATGTACATTTATCATGAACGAGCCCTGGTGGCGCAACAGTTAGCGCTCGGCTCCTAACCCAGAGGTTGGCCGTTCAGACCCACCCAGCAGCTCCATGGGAGAAAGACCTGGCGATCTGCTCCCATAAAGATCACAGCCTAGAAAATCCGACTTTGTCACAAGGGGTCAGTATGAGTTGAAATTGACTCGATGGCACCTAACAACAACACAACAACGTGTCATGAGAGCCCAGAGTGAGGAGCATGTAACCTGCTCTGGGGTACACGTTGGGGGGAAATGGGGCGGTGGCAATAAAGAAAGGATTCTTAAGAGAGATGAAGGGGCATCTTAGTCGGCTCGAGGAAGAGTAGGAGTTGACCAGATCAAGAGATGAGAGCAGTGGTGGTGGTAGACACACGTGAGCAGGACTCCAGGGACAGAATGAAGACTCAGGTGAGAAACCACAGGGCTGTGTGTGAGATGCAAAGCTGCCTTGTGCTTGAACATAAAACATGTGGCAGAAGATGAATAGTTTATGTACAGCTGTATTCTGATATATTAATTTTTTTTTGTACCAGAAATTGAATTTTATATGTGGATGTATATGTTCTTTTGTTTGTAGGAAAAGCTTAGCAATGACAGCTAGAACCAGTTCTTCTGTAGACAGTTTTTTCCTGAAGCTTCCCACCAATATCCATGACTCAGTGGATGAATGAAAATCCTGGTTCCATTGCTTATGCAGTCCTCTGCTTCTGAGGGAAACTGCATGGTGCCTTGTTGGTGTCACATGGCCTTGTATTTCGGTAGAGGAATTTATGTAATGGCGTTTTCCTTGATCAGAGGCCAATTTTATTAACCAGCTTTGAAGTATATAAGCATATACTTATATAAGCATATACTTAAGTGAAAATAACTAATATACTTTCTAGACATAATTGTTAAAGTTGTGGAAAATAAGGTGGAGGACTACAGAGATTTTTTTTAACTTTTTTTTTTTTTTTTTTTTTT